TATTTCGTTCTCCTTGATGATATCTCACCAAGTTTCTTTGACTCTGTTTATTTTTCTGCATTCTTTTTTTTCCTTTCTGTTCCATATACTGAACAATCTCAATCAAACTATCTTCAAATTCATGGATGATTTTTTTTTTGTGATAAGAACTGTTATTGAGGGTACAACCAGAGAACTGAGCGAAAAGTTCTGCTCCATTTGTGTACAATGAATCAAAAAGCATTCTGCTGTCATGTATAATTGATTAGAATAAATAAATAAATAATTAAAAAAAACTGTTATTGAGCTGGTTAGTGATTTTTTTCAATTCTAGAATTTCTATTGGTTCTCTTTTTTTTTTTTTTTTTTTTTTGGTGGAGGTCCTGGCAATTGAACCCAGGGGGCCTTGTACATGCTAGGCAAGCCCTCTACCAACTAAGCTGTATCCCCAGGTTATCTATTGGTTCTTTGAAAATGCAATTTCTATTTGCTTGTTGATATTTTAAATTAGATGTTACTTTCATTTTTTCTTTTAGTTTTTTAGACATAGCTTTTTAATTGGTTTTTTTAAATTGTTAATTTAAACTTTGCCTACTTTTGGTCTAATGCCTGAATTTCTCAGGGACATTTTCTATTGACTGCTTTCTTTTCTTAGGGGTGGATATACTTTCTTGTTTCTTTGCATATGACCTAATTTTGTTATTGAAAACATCATTGAAAATGTACAGCTCTGAAAATCAGATTTTCTTCCCTTTCCAGGGTTTATTGCTACCATCTTTTTCTTTCCCCTCTGAAGTAATTCAGTAAATTCTGATCCTTGCTCAGTTAGCTTAGTGGTCAACTAATGACTAGACAGAGATTTCCTCAAATGCTTAGAACTTATAAGCCTACCAGTTTTTAAGAAAGGTGTGTGTGCAACCAACAATAAAAAATTAAAAAAAAAAAAAAGAAAGGTGTGTGTGTGTGTGTGTGTGTGTGTTGAGGAATCCTCCCAAAGCTCAGCCAGGCAGTTGACAACTCTGCCTTAGCCATCATAAGTACTGCCTCAAGATTAGCTAAAAGTGAGAGCTCAGATCCTTCTCAGGTCTTCTTTGAGCATGTTTCATAGTTTTTTTTGTGTGTGTGTGTCTTTTTAGATTTTTAGAAATGAATTGGAGCTTTTCAAAGCTCCTTATGGATATATTTTTCCTGAGCTTTTCCTTTTAAGTCTTTTGATGAGCTTATTATTTGCCTCAATTGTTTGCCCACCTCCAGGAGTAATATAAAAAAATTGCCTCTGGTTGTTTTCAACCAAAGACCCTGGGGAAATACTGTTCACTGGGTGAACTCTAATCAGGTCAAATAAAGTCAGTCTAGCAAGTGTGTCTTCCATTTGTTATGACAATTCTCTGAGAATGAGGCTTTGATGGGGCTGCAGCACCTTTCTGTTCTTTCCAGGGGCTGCCAGCTGCTGTTTTTCACCATGCTTGTAAGTTATTAATTTTCAGTTTCTAAGGACCTGGAAAGATAGAGAGAATAGCTCACTTCTTTTTTTACTGAAATTTGGCAGTTTTCTTGAATAAACATTTCTAGAATTGTTGCAAGCCTTCAGTTAAGTTCCAGAGTTCTGCAATAATGAATTTTGACACTTTTCCAATGTTCACATGAATTCTAGGGGGGGAAGGATTTTCAGTTGTCCTTACTACGTTTTCATTCTGGATATATGACTTTTGACGCTTGGCCAATTTATGATATAGTGATTAAATTTCTCTGAATTTCTGAATTTCTCCCTGGAGACTCCTAGGGTTGGTTTCTTTACTAATGTTTTGCAACTGAACTTACATGTTTTACAAATGAGGCTTGATTATTTAAAGGGCCTAAGAGTTTCTTCTTTGAGATCCCTGTAGACAAGATGTCTCTTACAGAATTTGGTGGTTCATGCTGGTGATATGGAATGGTTCAATTAAGGGCCCTAGGGAGTTTGCACAATGGATATTTTCCTGACCACTAGTGTTTGCCTGTACTCTTCTTTTTCTTGCTGCACCATATCCTTGACTTTAAATAAAAGCCTGCCTGACTCTACTCTGATAAAACCTTTCAAATAACCCAACTTGGGTTATTTGCATATATCCATTCAATATAATGCTATGCAGCTGTAGAAAACTATGGGAAATGTATCTGTGAAATGATATGCAAAAATGGCCAATATATTTTTTAATAAAAATTCAGGTGCAGAACTATAATATAGTATACTAGGAGATAAATACATGGGTTTGTAATTGTATTTATTTGCTTTGCATGAAAAAATACTGCAAGGATACACACATTAAAAAATTACTAATAAGTAGTGGAAGCAAGATACTTCAACTTAATTTTCATAAGTTTTTATTTTCAAACTTATGAATATAATACCAATTAAAATGGAATTTTAATGTAAGATTAGAAAACGAAAAATTAAGTCAAGGGACCCAAGAGGTATAATAATGTATTAAAGTTGCTCATAATAAGTACTAAAAAATAAAGATGGAAAAATAATAGACATGCCAAAGTATAAACATGAACAACAAAAGTAAATAGCACAAAATGAATAGTTGAAGTTTTACCTGGATATTATATAAAAGGCGTTGATAATTGCTTCTTCTCAGAATTTCCAAAAAGCAGTGCACATGGCATTTTGTGCAGGCTGCTTCATTTTCTTGGGGGCTGTTCTGTGTATTTTGCAAAGTTTAGTGGTATTCCTGAACTCTACCCACTAGATAACAGTAGCACTTCCTTCCACCAGTTGTGACAACCAAAACTGTCTCTAGAAATTGCCAAATGGGGAGGAAGCACCAAAGTCACATCCAGTTGAGAATCACTGTTTTGACTGATCTCAGTAGTAATTAGATTTTCTGAGAGGCTCATTAAAAACATTTAAAATTTTTCTAGTGAATATTTTCATTGAGATGTCAAATACTTTCCCAGTTTCTTAAATTGTTATCATAATTCTGATTTAGTCAGGATGCTACTTTATAAATTCTTTTCAGTAACTTTAATGATTTATCAGAAACATTTTCTTTTTTAATGAGATATTTAAAATGTTGAATCATTGGGTCTGATTTTGAAACTTCTTGTGTAGGATCCTATCTCTATTTTTTTGATGTTAGAGAAATAGAATCAAAACTCGCATTCACATACACATTTTTCAGTACAGTTTCTTGTAATTGAGGGGTGAAACATGTCTAATGTGTTTGAAGTAATCCTGTTACTGACTTTTTTCCTTTACTTGTCTGGAATTCTTGAAATCTTTCAAGAAATTGTCCAGAGGTTGGTAAGGCCAGCAATTAGTTAAATAATTCCACATCTGTCTCAATTCCCATCTGATGACCTAAACCCAGAGACCCTGCCACTGCAGCAAATCACAATTCTGACAGCTCAATTTCTGGCAGGTATGTAGAAATACAGGAGGCTTCTCCCTCAGCTCTACCCAGCATCTTCTGAGAGTGATGCATATGGTCATAAGTACTTTAAAATGGTTGTTCCATTTCTGAAAAAAGTAACCCAAGAATCTAGAACCAGGAGACTGGCTCACAAATTACAGCACATCCCTCCACCCGAGTTTAGAGTCAAATCTCCTTCCACCTTCCTGTCTTCTTCCAGCGGGTTTATTGTTAATGTGATTAATTGCAGTTACGGGAGGGAGCGAGGAAGCACACATTCCCCCCAAGAATCACAGTGGTCTACCCTGTTTCCAAATTCAAGTGAAAGGGATTTCATTATTGGAAGAGAGATACAGGCAAAGCATGAAAGTGAAGCCAGTTGTATAACTGCGACAGAATAATTATTTTCATTCTGGGGGGGGGGGGGAAAGGACCGTAAAGACAGGATGCTCCGAAATGAATCTTCAACTTACAATGGGATCGTAACCACAGTCCCTTCCCTCTTCCCCGACGCCTTCAGATACTTGGAATCAATTCTCCTGCGTGAGTGCGTGCAAGACCAAGCGCACCGCCAGGAACTCGCCCAGGATCACCGGCTAAATAGCAAACAGATGCCTGGCAAGCCAGAGACCTCACTGACGAGGGCACAGCTTGGGAAGCCTGTTCCAGCCCAGTGGTTTCCGGGTGGAAAGGCTGTCCGGCCGGCTTGTTTTATCCTCTTTGCTTCAAATGGGCGGGTTTCGAAAGCAGGAATAGAATCCCCCTCGCCCCCAGCAAAGCTGCGGAGAGTTAGATCCAGCTCCGGGCAGGGAAAATCCTGCAGCAGAAAACTGGGGAAGAATGGAGGCTTCCTTGTTCCCCCTTCCCGAGGTAAAGCAGCCCTCCCTTCCTCTTCTCCCTTGAACTGCAGACTAGGTGCTCACATAGTTTTTTGTCGACCTCTCCTGCAGCCCAACTTCCTAAATTCCGGAAAGACTCCAGGACCCCAAACCTTGTTCCCAAGTTCTCATTCTCTGTTCCAGCCTCATGCATCCTGTCTTAATTCAGGAGGCCAATTTGGGGGCCATAGTTTTGGCTTCAGATATTATGAAAGCGCAGTTGCCTCTCTCAGGGTCATTTCAAAGCGTTTCCCCAAATATTCCTGTCCTCGACTCCTCGCCAGCACACGAGGCCCAAGCTGGTGGCCAAAAAAATTTTATTGCCGGGAGCTCATCGTGGTCAAGCTTGGTATCACCCCAGCAATTCTGAACTCCTCGAAAAGGTCCAGATTAGAGTTTGGTTCTACAGCTCCCTCCTGCACTTATCCCGAATGCTTCTTCTGCGTGGTCATTCACTTTGGACCCCCAGGGGCGCGCATCTTGGTGCGTCGGGTCCGCCTCTTCCCAGCGATCTGGTGAGGCGGGTTGGGTAGGCTGGGACCTGGATCTGATTAACTGGGAGGGGGAAGCCCTGGTCCCAATCACTTTCTTCTGTCGCAGTTCTCTTAGGCTTCTCGAGGAGGAGGGTAGTACAAGAGAGAAAGGGCGGAGAGTGTGGGGGGTCCCACCAACCAATACCCTCGCTGGGGATTGTGTCTCTTCTGCTATCTCGAGTATCCTATCTCGCCAGCGCCACACTCGCGTTATGGAACCCCCCTCCAGCTCTGGCTTCTATGTGAGCCGTGCGGTGGCCCTGCTGCTGGCGGGGCTGGCTGCCGCACTCCTGCTGGCTCTGGCAGTGTTAGCTTCTCTGCATGGCCACTGCGCGCGTGTCCCGCCGTCGGATCGGCGTAGCCTAGAGGTCCCAAACGCCGCGTCCTTCTCTCCCCTCGGGCAGGAGGGGCCATCGTCAACGCAGGAACCCGTCCCTACAAGTGAGCCGCAGGTGACAGCCACCTCGCAAGACTGGCGACCTCCGGGCCCCTGGGACCAGCTGCGCCTGCCACCCTGGCTGGTGCCGCTTCACTATGATCTGGAACTGTGGCCCCGGCTGCAGCCCGATAAGCTCTCCGTGCAGTTGTTGCGATTCAGTGGTCGAGTGAACATCACGGTGCGCTGCGCGGTGTCCACTAAGAGACTGCTGCTGCACAGCCTCTTCTTGGACTACGATCGCGCTGAAGTGCGGGGTCCCCTGTCCCCAGGCACTAGGAATGACACCGTGGGCCGCGTGCCGGTGCATGACGTGTGGTTTGCTATGGACACTCAATATGTTGTGCTGGAACTCGGTGAAGCTCTACAGTCTGGTAGCCGCTATGAACTGCACCTCAGCTTCTCTGGCCCAATATTCCAGGAAGTCAGGGAGGGGCTCTTCCTCAACACGTACACCGACCAGGGCGAGCGCAGGTAAGGGCTGCCTAGCCCAAATCCCCTGTGTCCCTCCTCTGCGTCTTGGAGCAGGCTGCAGATCCAGCTGCCCATAGTGTCCAGGTGTTCACTTCCTGCCCTTTTTATAGGCATTTGCCTCTTGGACTTTTTCTTCCAGAGCCAGAGGACGAACGCCTCCTTTCTCTCATTTCCTCCTGAAACTGCTAGGAGTTAAAGTTTCCAGACCTAAGTTCCTCCTCTGATTAGTTTTCTTCCCTATCCTGCCCATCTAATTTGAGGTCTCTGCCACCCCAAATGTTCATCGTTTTCTTCAGAAAGCCCCTTTCTCTCCAGCCCAGAATTTCTTCACCCTCCTACTCCCGAAAAATCCCTTGCTACTCAAAGATTGGTGCTTTGACCAACAGCCGCTGTAATACTTGGAAGTTTGTTGGAAATGCAGATTCTCAGGCTCTACTCCTAACCAAGGAGCTCAGAATCTTGGGATTTTAACGAAAATTTTAACGAAATTCTTGGGTTTTGTGGGTGTTAAAGTTGGAGTAGCGTAGTGTTAAAGCGCCCTTCTCTTTCTGAGGTTCTTCCCTACCCAGAGCGCTCTAGGTGCTCACTTCCCTGCTCTGCCTCTTTTTCGGGTCACTTTTTTTTTTTCTTTTTAATTTTTTATTGTTGGCTGTTCAGAACAAGAGCTGCTCTTGCAACAAATATACCCACATCAGGGTTGTTTGTTTCCATGTCCTTTGGTTTTCTGCTAAGGCTTGCTCTCCACAACTTTGGGATTCATCCCCTTCCACTACTGTCTGGGACACTCATCCCCTGGCAAGTAGCATCTTCTCCTACCCTTTCTATATTTTGTCAAGCTCTGCAGAACGTCAGAAATGGGTACTTCTGAGATTCCTCTTCTGGGAAAAACTAAATAAATAAAAGCGATGACAAGACACGTCCTCTCTGAGTTTCAAGCCCACACAAAGAACTTGTGTTCCTTTTCCACTCCTTTGAGATAATGTCTCCCAAAGGGGGTATTTCCAGCCCTGTTTAAAAAAAAAAATCATCCCTTCCTTACTCTGCCATCACACTACTGAAAACCAGAGAACAATGGGGAAGTGGCATATATGGAACAAAGGAAACAGTTTCTCTATTTTTTTTTTTAACCTGCCATCTTATCCTTTATTCATTCAGTGGAGGAGCATTTGTGGATTATAGGACTGCATGTACTTTACCCATTGTTATTAGAGAAAATGTTCTCAGAGGTTCTGGGAAGGGGGGACAGTGAACCTATTAAATCACCGTCTAAACAATCTCTTGCAATTTCTTTTCCAGTTTCAAAGGTTTTTAAATAAGTTTAATGACCTGCCTTAGTGGATATGTAATCTGTAAGTTTTGTTTTTAAGGACAGTATGCTTGTTTGTTTGTTTTTTTTTTTTCAAAAATGCATTAATACTTGAAAAATAGCCTCAAAATTTTCTCATTAGGATGATGTCTTACCCAACTCATACACATGTAGACCTATCGAAATAACTGTATTTCAGGGTGCAAGATCTTTCAGAGAAAAAAATAGAAATTCTGCATAGATATCTGACAATATTTTGTTTTGCCACCCAGTAAATCTTAATTTGTTCATCCATATCCCCTCCCTCCCTTCCTTCCTTCCTTCTTTCCTTCCCTCTGTCTTAGTGGGAGTATGACTCAGACAAAGTAGCAAACATGGTAAAGGAATACATTTCTCTCTTGTGCCAATCAACTCTAACAATAAGTAGAAACCGTGCTTTCAGAACATTAAAATTGAGGTAGAGGGGCTGGGGTTGTGGCTTAGTGGTAGAGTGTTCATTTAACACATCTAACATGTGCAAGGCCCTGGGTTTGATCCTCAACACCACATTTAAATAAATAAATAAAATGTATTGTGTCCAACTACAACTAAAAAATAAAATGAATATAAAAAATTGAGGTAGAGTTTCAAACTTGTGGTGTTTTGGAAGAGATGTAGCCAAGAAGTTGTCCCTTTGGTCTTTGCATTTGAAATCACCAGGAAAAGACAGCTGTAGTTAAACATGAAGCCAAGGTCATGAAGAACCTGGTATGGCAAATTTGGGGATCCCAACAGATCTGTATTTGAAACTGAGCTGTGTGAATTAAGCCAGTTTCTTAGCCTCTGTGAGTCAGTTTTCTCATTCATTCATTTCATGGAATAGATATAATAACTGTCAACTGCTGGGAGCCATTAGCCAAGTAGGTATGACAATTTCCTTGCCAGCGTACCCCATGTTGCAGTGACATTGAATGTAGGTGACCTTGCTCAAGGACCAGGGCGGATTAGGGTGTTCCTTGTTTAGGATAATCGGGTTTAGGGCGTTCCAGGTTTAAGATTATTCCTGCTGGGAATAGGGCGTATCCTGCTGCCTGAGTTCCCCTTGAGTTCTCACGGGATTCAGACAGTATATTTTGGGAGAGAGAAGCCCAGTGGATGTGGATTTGGGCAGAGAATGTGGATTTCCCCAGAACGTGATTGTAGACAGCTGGTGTGAGTTCGGGAATAAAGAGTTGCTGTTTGAATCTACAAGCTGTGTGGTGGCTCGTGATTGTGTGCCCAGCCAGACTGCGGTAGTCAACTTTTAGAATATTGTAAGAATTAAGTGAGAAAGGAGGTGCACAGCTTGGGCAGTGATACCAGCTATTATAGGTCAGGTCATCATTGTTGGCAGCAAACAGCCCCCTCATTATCTAAACATTAAAACTGTCAAATTCCTAGATTTGAGTCTGAAAGGTCCCAGACAGGAACAAACCAGGGGCCAGGGTGCTACAGTCTGGCTGAGCACAAATCACGAGCCACTGAAGCAGGAACAAACTTTATTTCTGAACTCCACCAGCACACTCCACACACGCTCCCCGGGAACTATCCCGAACCCCATGCGACTCATCCAGGAACCAGCCACCAGAAATATCTCCTCCGGAAATCCCTCCTCCTCCACTTCCCCAACCAATGGGAACTCTCCGGGAATCCCCAGGAATCCCCATGAGAACTCCAAAGTAGTGTGAGAACTCCAAAGTAGCGGCCAAGGTGAATAGTAATGCCTCGCCTGTCAACCAGAACTATTGGCAAAATGCCAGGGGCCATTCTGACTCAGCTGTGGCTCTCAGCATCTTCACCCTTCTGTTTAATTAAACAACAAGCAATGTGGCTTAGGGACCGTGCCTGTTAGGTTGTCCAATACAACATATGGTCCTTACCCGTCATCGGATGAGCTGACCTCTAGGCATCAGCCTCCTGTCTTAGGTTGGTACCACTGCAATTGGATCATACCTGTCACTGACTACCGGTCTAGCATACAGCCATACTTGTGGATAGGCCTTTGCACCAGTGGGGGGGGTGAGGTTCTTTGCCTCACCTCTGTTGGCCCCCAAACTTGGCCATCACTAGCAGAAGGGAGGAGGATACAGAAATGCCACGACACTAAGCCAATTGACGGCTCCTTTGAAAAATTATACCACCGGTGACACCATCAGCAAAGATACTCCAGCATTACCACAATTCGCTGCACCAACAGATAGTTAACAATGTGTAAAAGTGATATATAGTCCAGGCAAGTTCTGCAAGCAGTTCAAAGCAGAGGAATCTATCAATATGTCCATTTCCTCCCAAAGTAAATCGAACCCTTGATTGAGCATTACTTGTTGAGTTATTATTCATTGATGCATCAGTTTATACAGTTTGTTGTGATAACTATCGAAGAAGCTGTAGTTTGGTTTTATCTTTGTCTTCACCGGCACTGGGATGAAGATAGGAATTCTGGCAATGATGCTAAAAAAAAATTATGTAACATTCCAAATGGTACTAAAAGAAAGCAATTTTCTGAACAATTTACATTATCCTGAACAGAATTACTAAATATAATGAAAAGGAAAGGTGAAAGTAAACAAACAGATCTGTTAACCTCTTTATTTGTTCACATATTAAAACAATCCTCAACAGCTGTTTACCCAATTTAAATTAAACCATTTAAATCACGTGAATAAAAAAAAATTCGGATCCATTTTTTCATGTCCATATGATATATGGACATACACACACACACAGACATACAACACAAAACACAAGTGTACACACAAACATGCAACACATAAGACAATAGTAAAGACCTTGTAGCTTTACACAGGTGAAATCTCCATTGCAATGTTTAAAAACTCCACAGTCAAAAAATAAAACTGATCAGAAAAACATTAACCTAGGTCTGTATGAGCTCAAAAAATAAAATAGAACTTTATGATGTGGAAAAATGCAATAATAAAATAGATATTGAAAAAAGCATCCTGGTTAATCACTGTCGCAGATGTAAGAATAGCCAAGCTGGAGTTCTGGATATCAGCTATTATGGATTTGAGTCAAATCATCTTCTTTTTGGTCTGTAGAAATCGCTTTGGTTAGTCTCTCTGGAATCCAAATCGGCTGCTGTTCTCCCTGTGGAAACACACAAACAGAACCCTGACTCCAGACAATCACTGGGTCAGGACCTTTCCATTGTCCTGTTAGAATATCCTTCCAAAGTACCTTAGGCTTATGTACATTTTTTGGATACATATGCCTTTCCGCAGCTCTAAGCCCTGATGAATCCAAATTTAAAAAGTTTAGAGTAAAAAGCGTTATTTTAAGTTTATCTTTGGGGGATATATACCCCTTTCCAATTCCCTCTTTTTGCTTTAATAAGTACATTTTAATAGTTTGCTGAGCTCTTTCAACTATGCCCTGTCCCTGAGGATTGTATGAAATTTCTGTTATGTGAGTAATGCCAAATGATGAGCAAAATTGTTTTAAAGAGGTAGAGGTATAGCCAGGACCATTATCTGTTTTTAACTGTTTTGCAACACCCACAGTGGCAAAATTTTGTAAGCAATGAGCTATAATATCTTTAGTTTTTTCTCCAGCATGAAGGGAACCCATCAAAAATCTGGAAGAAGTATCATCTGTAACATTATGCAAATATTTTAATTTTCCAAATTCTGGCAAGTGTGTGACGTCCATCTGCCAA